TGCTCAGCGGGGAGCCTGCTTCTTCCTCTCCAGCTCCCTTGTGCTTGTGTTCCCTTTCTCACTATCTCTCTCTGTCATAAATAAATAAAATCTTAAAAAAACAAAAAAACAAAAAAAAACCCCAGAACTACCATATGACCCAGCAATTACACTTCTGGGTATTTATCTGAAGAAAATAAAAGCATTAACACACAAAAAAAGTATATGCATTCCTATATTCATTGCAGCATTTAGAATAACCAAGATACGGAAACAACTTGTGTCAATTGATGGATGAATGGATAAATAAAATGTGTGTATATATAATGGAATGTTATTCTCTCAAAGGAATGAAAGACATTTTTCCAGTCAAGACAACATGGATGGGCCTTGAGGGTATTATGTTAAGTGAAATAAGTCAGACAAAGAGAAATACTATGTGATCTTACTTATAGGTGGAACCAAAAAAAGCAAATAAATAAACCAAGCTCAGATACAGAGAACAGACAGGTGGTTGCCAGAGGTGGGGAATAGAAATGGGTGAGGAAAGTCAAAAGATACAAACTTCCAGTTATAAAATAAGTCATCAGGATGTAATGTTCAGCTTGGCAACAATAGTTAATACCACATTGCATATTTGAGAGTTGTTAAGAGATCTTCAAAGTTATGATCAGAAGAAAAAATATTCTGTAACTACATATGTTGACAGATGTCATTAGACTTACTATGATTTAACAAAATATACAAATACTAAATCATTATACTGTACATCTGAAACATGTTGTCTGTTAACTGTACCTCAATTAAAGAGGTCTCTCTGGTTAATAAGGTCTTACAGTAATTTTACACTTAATATTGTTAAGTTGCTGTTACCAATAATGTTACTATTTTGTATAAATTGTCACTTTGATGCAATAATGTAAGTTTGTTATTTTCTACTGATAGTTATTAGTAGCACGAGGAATATCAGTCAGAGTCCCAGCTGGAAACAGCACAAATTAAGAAGAATCAAAGATATTTACAAAAGGGCAGGCGGGATAGGGGAATCACAGGATTAATGCAGTAACCAAAATTATAAGCACCCTACCCCTAAACAGAAAAGGGATGAGAGCTGTTATCACTCCCCCAAAAGAAAAAAGAGGTATACTGAAAGGAACCTTTGGTTGAAGGACATAGGCAATCCAACCTCGAAAGGAGGAAATAGGGAAATACTTTGACCTTGTCAGTTTCCTCCCATTTTCTGCTAGAGCTCCTCTCTTGTGTACCCCAAAAGGACTCCAAAATGAGGGAATCCAGTCAGCAGAGTGAATGTGGAGGGGCCAACAGATGAAGCGATATATGAGCGGCTTACTTTAATAAGTATTCCTTTCTGTATTGACAATTTGAACGTTAATCAGGACTGTGGTTGCTGGTGACAGAAATGCAACTTGATGCCATTTAAACAACAACAACAAAAAAAAGGAAAAACTGGAGGAAGGGCTGGAGAAGAGCTGATTTTAGGGAAACAAATGCTACTGGGGCACAATTTTCCTCATGTCTACAAGTTGGTTTCTTTTGTAACAAAGTGGGTCTCCCCAGTGGAGACCCCAGAGGTCTTCAGCAGTGACTGGGGTGACATCTTTAGAGCAGTATAATGAGACGAGATGAAACTCAGCTTTCAGTTCCACAGAGAAAAGTCTTAGAGAAGAACTCTACTAAGAGATGTAAATGAAGATTTGCATAAATGGGCTAGGAAGATGGATTTTAAAGATGTTAATTCTTACCAAGTTATAAGCATAATGTAAACCTAAACATCACTTGAATTTTGGGGTAATATGAAAAATAAGGTCTCAACTTCATCAAGAATTTGCCTCAAAAAAGGAATACCAAAGACAACTTGTTCAATTATTAAAATGCATTATCAGGTGATTGGCAATTCAAAGTGTTATTCTGATGGAAGAATAGCAAGTTAATTGAACAAAGCTGGTATGTGTAGGTATGTGCATAATAAAAGTAAAGAACCCAAACTAATGGGATGGGAACGGATTAACCAATAAATGGTGCTGGGAAAATTAACTATATGGGACAAAATTACGCTAGACCCTTAAATCACGTTTTATACCTAGATAACTTAAAAGATAAAGATAACTTAAAGAGAAATGTAAAAAAGGAAAGCATAAAATATAACAGAGAAGATGATTATTTAATCTTGGGATGCAAAAGACTTTTTAAGTATAATAAAGGAGATTTTATAACATACAAATGTACAACTTAATTGAGAAAAAATTACATGTATAATTAAAAGGCAAACAGCAAACTAGAAAAACATTCTTAAACTGAGGAACTATTACTACACTGTATAAAAATACTAAACAAATGTTTACTAAATGATGTTTTTCTTGGTTAAATGTACTGTTCTGAAATCATCAGGGAAAAACAAAGCTGATTATTTTAGATAATAGTAAAAGAAAATGATATTACCTTATTGGAAATAAATGCTTTAGATTGGCCATTCATAATTTAGTATAATTTTATTTTCATTATACCTATAATAGAAGAGTAAAACACACACAGAAGTAAGGCTCACATATTTTTCATTTTTAGAAAATTAAGTCCATTATGGTCAAAAGTGGTCATTTTATTTTATATCCTTCACACATATTCACTAAGAATAGCTACACTCAAATTACCTAGGTTTTGTTGTACAATACATTTAACTGTAGTTGCTGGTATAATTAAAAAAAAAAAGACAAAAAAACTTATAAAAATGTCACTCACCTGACATGGGATTAAACACACAGAATGAGTTTAATAATGATCTGAATTTAATAAAGAATTGATTCAACTCTGCTCAAGAGTTATAACTGAATACTTTTTTCCTAATGGAAGAACAAATTCAGAATATGCTATAAATACCAATTTTTAAAAAAACTGATGAGAAAATATGAATAGTGGCTGGAAAGATCAATGGGTGCATTCAATGAGAATTTTTATTTCAATTATCCACAAAACAATATTATAATACCTTATAAAAATATTACATTTTAGACTACCATTATTCATTTAAAAAAGTGTTTGTGCTATAAAGGTTGTTTTTGTCAACTTCCTTTTCTGGTGAGGGTTGAATTCCACATTAAGACACTGAAGATGAAAAGCTGCTGGAAAAAAAAGATCTTCAAATGTACAAAGTTCTTTATTTCTCTTGGCGATTTAAAAATACAGAACCATTTAAACTGAATACACATTAAGTTAGTGTTTTATTTCCTTACTATACAAGTGATATAAGGAACTGCTCCATTTAGTTAAAACCTAATGAATACCATCAACTTTTCCTGACTTATTTTTCTGAACACAATTATTACATAATTTTGTTATCCTTTTTTAAATGCTTAGAAAAATTATAATACCATAGTTCACATAAAGCCCTTTAAAAATCTGATGTCCCAGGTTGTAGATGTTCTGGGTAAATGATGACAGGAGTCTTAGGAAGAGTCTCTTGGAAGAGAGATTGAATACTAAAACAGGTTACGTAAACATTAGAAACCTCCACAACTTTTAGTACCAGAGCTATTACCAACCTAAATGAAGCTCATTTGTCATGCTTTAAAATTGTCTGAATTTCAATACAGTTACCATGGCACAGAACTTTAAACTTAATGATGAAATCAGGTAAGTGATGGTAGTTAAAAATTATAATTACAGGGGCTGTTGGTTTTCAAGGTTACAGTGGAATTGGGGTTAAGGGTTGTGAATAGAGCAAGTACACGACAAAGCTCACTGATCTAAGATTCAACCATTTTTCTTGAATAAATGTTGATCAGAAAAAAAAAAGAATTATAATTCTAAAATATGGGAACCTGATGTATTGCTTTAAAAGTGTGACTATAAAGGAGAATATTTTAAAACATAAATACTTTCATTTGTAGGATTCAGTTCCTTTGCTACACTTAAACCAGTAATGATGCTATTTAAATTCCTATTTTGGAATTTCTTTTTGAGTTTCACTTCTATACTTTGGGCAAAAAACCTGTCCCTCCCTTTCCACCGCTGCTATTATTCTCAATAAGTTTTCCTCCCCAAATCAACTAAATTCTAAAAAGGGAAAAAATGATCACCATTAAGTATATTTAAAAAGTTAATATAGATTTAAACACAGATTTGAAAACTGGAGTTCTAAAAATGTTTCACATAAAAGCTCTATCACTGGAATTAGTGGGAAGCCTTAACTTAGCTATTTGAGGCTGAATGCTCATTTAGTGTTTACGTTAAGAAAGATTAGTTTTAGACATACCTTGTAACTCTTAAAATCTCAGAACAGGTGAGTGAGGAGCTGTGAGTGCCAGCAAAGCCATTTGTCACTCCTCAACATGAACATTAAGCATAACATTCCATCCCTCTACCTGTAAAATTTTCACATTTTCTTTTTTCATATTTCTTTTAAATATTTTCCTCTCTGTCAGTCTATATTCAGGAAGAGCAAAAGTGCATTCAAGTCCCTGATCTAGTGATATTTCATATTTGTGGCACCCATCACCGTAAGTACATACTAGAAATATCTCACAGTACCAGTCTACTTTTTCAAAAGGACTGTTTAAATATCGGGTCTTATTTTTTCATGTTATCTAAATATTAAAAGATTTTCCCTTGGGATTGGACAGTACAACTTCAATTATATAATGCCTTAAAGAAAATCAATACAACCTTATAAAAGATTAACTCACTTTCTAGTTACCTTCATTATTCTAAACTGAGCTATTCAGAAAATGATTAATCAAAGTGAAAAATTTCTACTTTCCAGTTCCATGAGTATGAGTATTAACATAGTGCATTATACTTTCAAAGGTCACTACTGTCGTCTAACATTAATCAAGTTTTAGATGCTGTTTATATTCCTTTTTGCTTCTAAAAACCTGGTGCATTTCCATGAAAAAGAAAGTAGATATTAGTAAGATTGTATACTAACTGTTCAACTTCGAAAAAGCTTGTGAGAACAATGAATGGAAGACAGCTTTAAAAACTGGAATGGAATTGTTTGGTCCTTGACTTTAGATTTTATTATGGTATACCTGTTTTTATCTCCCAAATTTTGTCTATAATGATACACACTTTCCTCTTAACAACTCTGAGTTTGGGGAATAAAAGAAAGGAAGTGATTTATAAAGAAGCAGCCTTGTTGCTCTTCATGGTCATGCTATCACTCACATGGTCATCAACATCATAACTATACCTTCTTTGGACCCTGAAATAAGTTGGAAAATTCATCATTGGTATTTTAGAGTTTAACACTTGGAAAAAAAAAAAAGCGGTTTGTGCAACCGTATCTGGAATTCCAGTTTACCATTAAAAACATGCAGAGTGAAGAAGACTTTCTTCTTTTGATTCCTGTATGTAAAGTAAGGAAGTCTACACAAGTTCTTTACATTTTGGCAGATTTGTGCATATAAAAGGCTACTTGGATTATAAATTTTCTCCCGGTTGGTACTGTGGCTCTGTAGCAGTGAAGTAGTCTTCCAAGAAGGACTGAATATACTCAAATGTTGGCCTTTCATCAGGGTCCTTCTTCCAACAAAGGTTCATCAATTCGTGTAGGGATTCTGGGCAGCCCTGAGGGCAAGGCATCCTGTATCCTCGCTCCACCTGTTCGAGCACTTCACGGTTGACCATACCTAACACACAAGATTCAAACATCAGAAAAAGTGATCCCTAACACCACTAGCAAGACAGAACAAATCCCCTAGTCACTAACTGATTCAAGGTATAGTAAGTTTATCAAGTGAAAGGATATTTTCAACAACAACAAAAAAATTCTAAATGTCAAGTATATCAAATGCTTAGAAAATGCTAATCTGTTTCAACATGTCTAGTTTTTTTTCGTTCCACCTAAAACCTTAATTTTAACCCTAATGCCTTCAAAACCCAACCCCATTTGATTAATGAGAATTTAGAGTACTACTTTGAAGTACTGATACTTTCTGATATTAACAGTTCACAAGGACCAAATTTGGGTTAACGAGGGACAGTGGCAAGATAATGTCTGAAAGAACTTCCAAACAAATTCAGAAGAAAGTTCTGGTCCTGGTTTTGCCAAATATATTAACTATGAAACTATATCAATGCACTTCCCTGAAAGTTTCCTTATCTAGTATCACCTGTTTGCCTTTCTTCAAGTTATTATATACAATTTCTTTCTTGTATTTCTTTGTAATCCTGTCTCCATTAGTAGCTCACCCTGTGTTATGATAGGCTAAGCAGACCCTCAATTATTGGGGAGGGAAGGAGGTTGCTGGGGAGATGACCCAGGATATTTAAGATATGCTTATTATCTGAGAGAATAGTAGAAATAAAAGGCCCATTTGGAAAATATCTTGAGAAAGCTGAGGTGAATATGGGTCACACCTCGTGTGTTTGTCCTATCTCAAGAATCATGATTCTCAAAGGCTGCAGTCTATCCGATGCTAAAATAATGAGAGGAAGAAAGGGAGGGAAGGGAAAAAAGAGAACAAAAGTTTTTCTTCCCCTTACAGTTTTTGCTCCTAATAAACTCTAGTTAAGGGTCTTGGGATAACAAAGAGCTAAAATGAAATGTCAGCTTACCTGGATATGGCACTCTGCCCTTTGTTACCAGCTCTGTCTGTAGAATACCAAATGACCATACATCAGACTTTATTGTAAATCGACCATATAGTGCAGCCTCGGGAGCTGTCCATTTGATTGGAAACTTTGCACCTAAAATAATGACAATCTTGCTTAAGTAAATTGTTCATTAAAATCTATTTTGGGGGCACGTGGGCGGTTCAGTCAGTTAAGCGTTTGTCTTTGGTTCAGGTCATGATCCCAGGATCCTGGGATTGAATCCCACCTTGGGCTCCCGGCTCCTCCTTCTCTGTCCTCCTTCTCTTTCTGCCTACCTTGGCTTGTGTTCCCTCTCTCTCCCTCTCTCAAATAAATAAATAAAATCTTAAAAAATATATATATTTTTATAAATATGGTATGAGCAGGATTAATCTTTAGTCAGTATCTTTATTGTATGTGTCATCAATGTCAGATTCTTCAAAAGTACAAGATACATGGGAAAAATTCTTTAAAATTTGAATTCATACTACAATAAATCACATTTCTTTCTCATAAACCAGTGACATAAGAAAAAGAAATGTTGGGGCACTTCGGTGGGTTAAAGCCTCTGCCTTCGGCTCAAGTCACGATCCCAGGGTCCTGGGATCGAGCCCCGCATCAGGCTCTCTGCTCCGCAGGGAGCCTGCTTCCCTTCCTCTCTCTCTACCTGCCTCTCTGCCTACTTATGATCTCTGTCTGTCAAATAAATAAATAAAATATTAAAAAAAAAAAAGAAAGAAAAAGAAATGTTGGTCGGGACAGAAAATTGTTCAAGAAAATAGAGGTAGAAGGGGGCCTGGGTGACTCAGTCAGTTAAGCATCTGACTCTTGATCTCAGCTCAGGTCTTGATCTTAGGGTCATCAGTTTAGGACCCATACCAAGCTCCATGCTGGGCATGAGGTCTACTTAAAAGACAAAAACAAAACAAAAAACAAAAAAACCCACAAAGGCAGGAACTCTGATAAGCAACTAAAAACATGATTATAGGATCTGTAACTTTAAGGAAGTCTAGCACCTATTGGCTATACTTAACTATTCGTTGATGATGGCCCATTCTGTTGAATTCTAATTTTAAAAGCCTATATTTACTCAAATATTTAGTGTATGTTTCTTATGCACAAGGCATTTGCTAATCATTATGGGAGACATAAAAACATAGCCTTTGTGAACCTGAGACATTTAGAGTGGAAATAAGATTACAGGTGTCTTATATACTTATGTACATACACAACAATATAAAATAGTTCTTTAAATAGGGGCGCCTGGGTGGCTCAGTGGGTTAAGCCTCTAGCTTTGGCTCGGGTCATACGGTCTCAGGGTTCTGGGATAGAGCTCTCTGCTCAGCGGGGAGCCTGCTTCCTCCTGCCTCCCTGCCTGCCTCTCTGTCTACTTGTGATCTCTGTCTGTCAAATAAATAAATAAAATCTTAAAAAAAAAAAAAAGTAATCTTACCTTGTCTTGCTGTATATTCATTGTCTTCAATTAACCTTGCTAAACCAAAATCTGCTATTTTGCAAACAAGATTTTCTCCTACAAGAATATTAGCAGCCCGAAGATCTCGGTGAATATAATTCATTCTTTCAATATACGCCATACCATCAGCAATCTTGAAAAGGAAAACAAACAAACACATATGATACAAAGGGAAGGAGGGAGGAGGGAATCAGAAAAGGGAGAACAGGAGAAGAAACAAGAGATGCATATGGCCCACAAAGCCTAAAACATTTATATGGCCCTTCACAAAAATGGTTTGCTGAACTCTACTATTGTGTTTAAGAGGCTTGAACACAGGACCATGGACTAGGCTTGGCATATGCCAAATCCTCAGATGGGCAGTTTCTTGGTATAAAGCTTCTCTAAACTGAGAGTCTGTGGACATCTGGATGCTCACCAAGAAAGCAGTCTTAGAACTGACATGTCAACTAAAGCCAATCAAAGGCCCCTCGAACACCTCCCACATTTCTGAACAGAAACTGTTAATAGTTTTTACTCACATTTAAAAACTAAGACTCAGGGGAATAAAAGGCACAGCACAGAGAATACAGTCAATGATGTTATAATAACATCGTGTGGTGACAGATGGTAGCAACATTTGCAAACACAGTATAAAGTATAGACTTGTTGAATCACTATGCTATATACCTAAAATTAACATAACATTGTATCAACTATACTTAAATAAAAATTTTTTTAATATATAAAATTGATCGTACATGGTAATTTAAAATTCAAAAATAAGAACACAAATTTAGAAGAATAAAAATATCCCATTTTTCAGTGTATATTGCCATCTTCATTCTTGTTTTCAACTATATTAAATAAAAAGTTCAGCACATTCTTTAGATTTCCAAAATTTTCTTTGAAATAGCAATCATTCATTATCTTAAAATTTATCTACTAAAACAGAAATACACATAGATTTCATATTTGTTAACTCAGGTTTCTAAAAGGTCACATGATGCATGACAGCACCATACTGGGAATTACATGCTTGGTTCTAAGACTAGTAAATTATATGAATCTGTTAGATACTGCAGGTCTTCAGACACTATGTTATCTATAACATAAGGAAATCAGACTGGATTATCTCTAATGTTCCTTCCACTCTAAAATTCCATGATTTCACTATATAAACAACAGTTCTACTATGATTATTTTACATTTTATGTACACTATCAATGCAAATGGAAGCATGTGCAGTACACAAATACCTGAGCAGCCATATCAACCAGTTGTGGGAGCTTCAAATACTTTCCATCTCCCTCCTTCAGGAAATCCAATAAACTCCCTATAGGAGAGAAAAATGTTCACAGAAAATAAGCAAATCTTTTTTTTAAAGATTTTATTTATTTGACAGAGAAAGAGAAAAATCACAAGTAGGCAGAGAGGCAGGCAGAGAAAGGGGGAGAAACAGACTTCCCGCTGAGCAGAGAGCCTGATGTGGGGCTTGATCCCAGGACCCTGGGACCATGACCTAGGCCGAAGGCAGAGGCTTAACCCACTGAGCCACCAAGGCGCCCCAGAAAATAAGCAAATCTTAAATTAGGATTGAAATGAACATTCCCCCACCTCCAAACAAATCACTGCATCACAATACAAAACTTAAAACTTGTTATTCTTTAATATTTATTGCAGCTTTGGAATTTCTGAACAATTAATTTAATATTCTAGAAGAGGTCTCTCAACTGAAATTTTAAAAACTTCTCTAATAACATAATGGAAAACTGAATAATCTCTCTAGATTGTAAGCATTCCTTCTTTGCTTTGATCAAGATCAGCAATCCCAATTTTGATCCAAAAGGCAGTATCAGATACCTGTGTATTTTTAAGTCAATACGAATCAAGGGTGCAGACAACTGGGAATACATTGGGGTACTTAAAAATGGACCTAGGTGGCTGAGCTGACATGGGAGTGTCAGTCGAATTAACTCCTCTCAATTTTAACAGAAGATACCATGAAACAGCAAACTACTATGAATAATGGCCAACAGAAAGGCTAGAATTCTAGTTGCTATTCTTGTAATACTTGTTAAAAACTTCCCATGTACCTGAAGTTAATCAAGGAAAAAATAAACTGAAATTAAGGTACATTTTCAAAACAAACATAATGTTCTTGTCAGAAGTAACAATGTCATCAAAGACAAGAAAAGCTAAGAGAGGGACTGCTCCAGATTAAAGGACACCAAAGAAAATTGACAACTAAAAGAACTGATTAAATCCTGGATGGAGGGAAAAGTGTGGTTAATTAAGGACATCACTGGGACAACCGATGAATGTGAAAAATGGACTGGTATCAGATAATGGAATTATATCCAATTTTGTCTTTAGGAGACAAACATTGAAGTATTTAGCAGTAAAGCAAATGTGTTTGCATGTGCTCCTCGGTTTCAGGGAAAAATCCTTATATTTTTATGTACTGAAAGATACATATATAGTTAACAATTGACAAATCGGCTGAAATATGTATGAGAATTCGGTGTATTATTTTTACAACTTTTCTGAAGTTTAAAAGTATTTCAAAATAAAACAAAACAAGACAAGACAAAGAGAGCCCTTTCCATGACCGGACTGTGAAGCAAAGGAGAGCTATGATGTAGTCTCTTCCTTTACAGAGATTCAAAGTCAGAGAATATCTGTATTTCTTCTGGTCCATCTACTGCAGATGGAACATGGTATTGTGTCTTTGCCTTTATCTGTCCATTTGAATATGTGCTGAGGATCTACTCCATGTAAGGTACTATAAAAGATACAAAATACAAAGATAAATATGTCATGGTCCCTGACCTTGAAGAGACCTTGATATAGTAAGAAAGTATAATACAAAGATCTAGAAAGTATATAAGTAATATACGAAAACAAATACTGTATAGTAGGTGTGATAAAATGTATTGTAAAACCTATAATTATACAGACACAATGGATATGGTTAATTCTATGAAGAAGTCAGAAAAGGCTTTACGGAGGAAATCGGTTTCTAAGAAGAATGGGGGCAGACAGGGAATTCTAGGATGAAAGATTAACAAGTAAAAAGGCAGTACTGCATGTGACATCACAGTTCAGGGAAGTGAAAACAGTCCTTCGTGTGCAAGAACACAGGGGACAAAGATGGGAACTGAAGAGGAAGAGGCTACAGAGGGAAAGAGAACACAGAAAGCAAGCCTAAATGGACTTTACATGAAGTTTTATACTGAAAAGCAATACGATCAGGTTTATGTTTAAAAAGCAATCATTCCAACAGTAATGTGGAAAATGAAATTGGGCCAAAACTGCATAAAAAGATTAAGTTTAAAAGTTCCTAGAATAGTCTAGGAAAGACAAGACTATTATGTTAAAATCTAGCAATGACAGTGGGAAAGGAGAAAAGGTGGTATCTTCCAGAGAGATGTGATAAATGGGATCAATGGCACTGAATGGACCGTTGTCACACAAGGTGGTGGGGAAGTGAAGACTGGTGGGCCCTCTCACCATAGTTGGCATCTGTGAGTTTGCAGGTGATGTTAATGTTGCTGCCATCCAATGCACTAGAGACTCTTGCACACAGGCAAGAAGAGGCAAGCACAAGGACATTCACTGCAGCACTATCTGTTACAGTGACAAACTAGAGGCAACCTAAATGTTCACTGGGAAAGGAATGAATAACAATGGTATATTCATACAGAATCTCATCCAACAGTTACAAAGAGACAAATTAGATCTTTATCCATATGAATAAATCTCAAGAACATAATGTTGAATGAAAATAAAGCTAGTTAGATTTACATAAGTTAAAAACATACAAATACTGTTAATAGACAAATATATATCAATACAAGTAATCAATATGGAAAACACAGATGGAAAAGGTAAGCATCAACTTCAAAATTAAGGTTACTTCTAGAAGGGAAATGGGCCCAAAAGAACGTGAAGGGAAAGCTCTAATGAGAATGGGCTCAAGGAGGGGTAAAAACAAAGATGGAATTAGATCTGTTATGTTTTGCTTTCTTAGTCGAGAGAACTGAAGCAAATATGGCAAAGTGTAAACATAAGTTAAATTTGGATGGTAAGGACATGGTTGTTATGGTATTCTCTGTATGTCTGAAATATTCCACAATTTTTAAAAAAAATCTATGAAAAGTGTTGACATTAAATAAACTTAAGTAGTTTTTAAAAAGAGTAAATGGCTGGTTAGGAAGTGAAGACAGAGAGTATTCTTTAAAAAATCTTGGCTGTGAACAGAAGCAAAAAAGCAGAACAGTAGGTGAGAGAAGCAGATATTGAGATCTAAGAAGGGTTTTCTTTTTAGATGTAAGAAAGGATTAAAAACACAAGAAACTGTCTTTAAACAGAGGAAGAGGCACTTCTTTTCTTCACTTCCTTTCCTGCAAGATAAATTGACATTACATAAATACTCCACATTGCAATGCAGAGTATATAGAAATAAACAGATGATACAGTTCTTTTGTTTTAGGATAAAGAATTTAAATAAGGTGGCATGAACGATACATTAAGTAAAAGAACATTTTTCAGTGTAACAACTGATAATTGCTAAAATAGTAGAGAACTGCAATGCACAGAAATCTAAGACTTGTTACTGTCATTCCGACAATTCCTTTTCTCTGATCTTTAACCAATGACAACAAATCCTACCCCCCCCGCCATGTGCTTTATACTCTTTCCAGGAAACACATATAAAAAAGCAAAAATTTGACACAGAACTTCAGGGAAGTTCATGGACCCTTTGAAGCTCATTCATGACCCTGTCAGAGGATAGGTACTCAATAAGTAATAGTGAAATCAATTCAGAGGAGTCTTAAATTTCTCACATACCTCTCCAGCCTTATATCCAACCAGCTGCCTTCTAAACTTTCTACTTCTCATGGTTTTGTTCCCCATTTCTTCATATCTTCTTACTCTGCAGAAATACCCATACCTTTCCCTTTACCCATTCATAGACTTTATAACCTTAAAGATCAGTTTAAGACTTGACTAATTTTTCTCAATTTATTCCAGCCTATGTGATCTCTTCCTCATCCCTTTTCTTAATGAATGTGTTAAACACCTGGAAATTCATTATGCTTGGGCCTATAGCTTATTTGTTTATAGTGAGCTATTATTTACTTTGATACTGAAAATTAACTCATCAGAAAGTTAGGTCTTTTCTCTGCAAATTCAATATAAGTTTTTTCGGTGCTTTAGTTCTTTGATACCTTATAATAAGTAGGAGTGTGTCCGATAAATTAGAAGTATTCAATACATTTTGGTTCTTAATAATTTATAGAATAGTCTGTTTATAAACATTTCATAGGATATAATGATCATGACAGATATGGATATTAATGAATGGCTTCAAATACTTAAGTATAATATGAAGGGAATATGATTGATGGCCTGGTTGAGAGACAGGGAAATCAAATTCCAGATGAAGGAATCTGAACAGATTCATGCAAACCAGAAGAAGGAAGAAGACCTATATAGCAAGGAAAGTAGGTTTATCTGGGAGCACATGACACAGTGAGTTTGAATGGGTTACTGAGGATCAACTGCTAAGTACCTGAAATAAAATGGGAAATTATGGAGTTTTAAAACCAGAAGGGTCATTTATGATCTTGCATTCTTAATCTCCCAACTAGAAATAACCCTAACCCAGCAATCTGACAACATATCTATTATGTTCCCCAAATTAAATAATTCTTGAAATCAATATACAAAGCTAAATGGACCATTAGCTTTTACCTCCATTATATTCTTATGCTATTAATATCTTGATTTAAACTTCCTCCTTGTCCCTTTCTTCCCCTCCTTATATAGTTCAACCAGCGCACTCTGGAAGGGATTATTTTGCAGTTGTTTACAGTGAAGAGTCCTTCCAAAAAGTGGCATGTACCTTGGGGCTTTAGATATGTTTTGGCCACCAATTAACAGGCTACCTCAATTCTTTTTTTTTTTAAGATTTTATTCATTTATTTGACAGAGAGATAGAGAGCACAAGCAGGCAGAGTGGCAGGCAGAGGGAAAGGGAGAGGCAGGCTCTCCACGGAGCAGGAAGTCCAACGTGGGGCTTGATCCCAGGACTCCGGGATCATGACCTGAGCTAAAGGCAGCTGCTTAATGACTGAGCCACCCAGGTGCCCGGGCTACCTCAATTCTTATTTTTTGGCTTTTCTATTCCTTTGGGAGGTTTCCTATAGCAAATATGTAGCTTGTAGTTGGCCCTGTCACCACTAGATGGAACTACATTGTTGGCCAAAATGGGACTACTGGAGAGGGATGACATAATCAGTAGCTTTAATTATGGAGTGACTCATTAAGTGTTGGGGTAGGGGCACCTGGGTGGCTCAGTTGTTGAGCATCTGCCTCTGGCTCAGGTCATGATCCCAGGGTCCTGGGATCGATCGAGCTCCACATAGGGCTCCCTGCTCAGCCTGCTTCTCCCTCTCCCTCTCCCTCTCCCACTCCCACTGCTTGTGTTCCCTCTCTGTGTTTCTCTCCGTCAAATAAATAAATAAAATCTTTAAAAAAAAAAAAAAAAAACAAGAGTTGGGGGTAGAGGGACGCCTGGGTGGCTCAGTGTTAGGCATCTACCTTTGGTTCTGGTCATGGTCCCTGCTCTGCTCTGCGGGGCGACATGCTCTGCGGGGCTCCCTGCTCGAGGGGAAGCCTGCTTCTCCCTCACCCACTCCCCCTGCTGTGTTCCCTCTCTCACTGTGTCTCTCTGTCAAATAAATCAAATTTTAAGATAAATAAATAAAAAGAAAAAGAATTTGGTGGGAGAGATAAAATTCAAGAGGGCAAAAGTAGGACTATCAACATACTTAGTGCTTACTGGTTCCTCTTCTAATGTATCACCTGTCCTGGCCCTAACCAATTCTGTTACTCAAGGTCTCACCTTAGGGTCTGGAGTTTGAGAGAAGGGAGAAATTTTAGTGAAAGATAGTGGAAAAAAGTTTCTAGGAACTCTGACTATGAAGATTGTGTTAAAATAAAATAAGATTTCCTTAACTTGACCTGATTTCTTTTAGGAATAAAGATGTAAGCTTCTTTCTAATTGTGTTATTTTAATTTGTAGAAATACTTTTTCACTTTCCTAGCTATTTCATTTCCTTTAGTCAAATGGAATAAAAACCCACTTACTTTCAACATAAATTGAGCTGGCCTAATTTTCCTTTTAAACTTTGAACTATCCTCTGGAAGAACTGGACTAATCACTATTGCATTACACAAAATGTCAGATTTTCTCTTCTCAACAACTACATAAAAATCTTAAGTTAGGGAACACTACACAATAAAAAATTTGTATGCATAAAAATAGAAATGAAGACTTAAAAAAATTTATCAACATGAATACCCTAAAAGAAACTAATAGACACGTACCTTTTGACATGAACTCAGTGACAATGTAAATTGGCTCTTCGGAAACAACAGCATATAGTGGAACAAGTTTATCATGTCTTAATTTTTTCATTATCTGAGCCTCTTGAAGAAAAGCTTCTGGCATCATTGTACCTGGCTTTAGTGTTTTGATTGCTACTTTTGTGGTTCCATTCCACGTCCCTAGAAAAACACAGACCACTATTTTAATCTATAATATTAAGAGATTTTTTTAAGCCAAACCTTAATGAGCAGCAGTTACCTTAAATATTTCAACATAAGTTATGGTGTTTTAATCTATGGCTAAAGAAATGACAAAAAAACAGTTCAGGATTCTTACCCATCCATACTTCACCAAAACATCCTTGTCCTAATTTAACCTCTAGTCGCAAAGATTCTCGAGGAATTTCCCAAGCATCTTTTGCTAGACCTTGAGTCTGGGGTTTCACAGTAGGACACACGGTTGTTAACTTATGGCATAAACCATCAGCATGTTCTAGATAAATAAAAAAACTATACTATAAAACAAATTAATTACAAAAATTAAGGTACATACAGTATATTAATATTTTTAAAAGTTTAAATTGAAGAAAACAAAAACAAAAACATGATGTCTGTTTTACTCCAAAAGCACAAATACCAAAAAGGGAGCTGTATGCATGTAAGAAGCAAAACATACAAGAGGTGAAACATTCTTTGTTAAATACATTTTTGAAGTTATAATTTACTGAACACTTATGTCTCAGCTATTGTGCTAATTCAGTACTTTACAAATATCTCGTATAAGTAAGTCTTGAAAAACTTAAGTGACTTTCTTAATGTCACCCAGTAAGTAAGTGACGGAGATGGGATTCAAACCATAGTTCTGGCTGCCCCCAAAGTTCTCTTTTTGATCACTGGGTTTTATTTCTTCCCAAAGAGAATGCTAGCATTAACTGTTACTCCTAATAACCATTAATGTAAGAAGCATATCAAAAATTAAGGAGAAAACTTCATTTAAGAGACTGGTTTTCAAATAAGGGAGACACAAAAACAGGAAATCCCAAATTCACAAAGGCTTGACTTGTGAATCCTCACACTCTTTCTTATTATAAATAAGACATGTTCCCTCCCATGTTCAACAAGTAACCACACAAATCAAATTCTTTTTTTTTTTTTTTTTTTCCCCACAAATCAAATTCTAAAAAGTACAATTACAACTGATGCCACTGCTTGGTAACATGTTTGATAAATGTCAAGACTAGTGGTTGACTTGATAGACTGTACCTGTCACTGAAGAAGAGACTGCCATTGCAATCCCCTCCCCTAGTATTAATAATTTAAAAACTTTCGGGGTGCCTGCGTGGCTCAGAGGGTTAAAGCCTCTGCCTTCGGCTCAGGTCATGATCCCAGGGTCCTGGGATCGAGCCCCACAATGGGCTCTCTGCTCAGCAGGAAGCCTGCTTCCCCCTCTCTCTCTGCCTGCCTCTCTGCCTACCTCTCTGCCTACTTGTGATCTCTGTCAAATAAATAAATAAAATCTTTAAAAAACAAAAAAAAAAACCCAATGTTTAAAAGTAATAATAATAATAATTTTAAAACTTTTTGGATGCATTCATGTATCAAATTGGCAATGCAAAATTTTGAGACAGAAGAATCTAATACTGAATACCTTTCAAAGGTCCTTCCTTGAAAGACTAGAAGAATGTCTACAGTTGCAATGGGTTAATTTTTCAGGAAAAGAACAATGCACCTTTAGATTAAATTTCATTGGATTTATACTCTAGGAAGTTTTATGTGGTCCATTCCATGCAGAAGAAGGTAACCCAAAAGGACATCTGATAGAGCTTTTTACATTAAGTATTTAGTTTTACCCACTTAATAAATGTCCCTAAAAAAATACGTGCTTTTGTGCTTTTTTATTATTGTCAAAATCTATCTTGATACTTAGCCACTATGAAACTCCAATGTAAACACTATGTCAGTAAGATATAAGGAATCAAATAATGGTAGTCAGATTTTAGCATGTCTAAGAACCTAACTCAGGTAATAAGTACTACCTGCTCCTCCTTTTAAACCTAGAATACAACAGATTCTATTGAGCACACTCTTGTGGGAAAAGTACCACACTAAACCTTAAAGAGACATGAAGACAGAGATTCTGTCCTCATAAAACATATCAAGAAATAATTTTCACCTGTGAAATATTCACATACCTGTGTAGTGTTTTACCAACTTCTGCAGAGTATCAAATTGTGCTCTGGTTGTGATATAGTATCCACCGTTGTCAAGTTTCCTAATTTTATAGTGTTTCACATTGTCACCTCTTACCTCATCCCAATCACGGATAGAGAGAGAATAAGCACCTAGTGGGGGAAATAAATACTTTTTTGTATCTTTCTCAAAATACTGTCCAAGAAAATTTTTGTACTTCTATTACATTATAATTACCTTTAGTAGTTTCACTCTCTCTTACTAAGAAAATACCTCGTTGATTCCCAGGATTCAGAAGTAATCTTTCGGCGTCTTTTCTGCCCATTTTGCCAAAATACCATCTGGAAAAAATAGTGCTCTGAGTTAGAAATGTGGAAGGTTCAGAAAGGTTATAAATAAATAAGGATCAGTAGGAATGGAGTGGCAGGATGACAACAAAGAGCTACACAGCTTAAAAACACAGCAAAACACAATAAAGGGTCTTTATTAAATAGAATTATTACAAATATTATTGTCAGAATATACTGTGCTAATATTTCCATGTATTGACTACTCAACCAGTCTCTTCAATTCCACCTGCAAGTTACATGATCAGTACATGGAGAAGGAAAGGCAATAGTAACAGAGAAGCTCCCAGTCACTGACAGATGGAGATATTAAAACTGTAGCAGGAAGAACAGAAGTGGGTCTCTGGTAACAGTGTGATCATCTGTATTTGGTAAGGTGCAAGTGATCTATATTCATATTATTAGCAACTCTGCATTAGCATGGCTTTGATTTAATACAGATTTGTGAATAAAAATGAGTATCTGCTATGGAGAAGCTCACAGTATAAAACAGGAAGTAGTAAGTGTCAAGCAGAACAGAGTTATGGAGACAAATTACTTAACATAAAAGCAACAAGCATTGATAGAGCATCTACTGTGTGCAAGGCACTCTTAAATATTGTGATATGAAGACAAAGTAATATTTATGAATCCCAGATAGCCTTGGTTTGACCTAAAAAATATATCACTGAAGGTGAATTTTAATTTTTTAGAAGTTGTGAGAATAGCACACAGAACTCTTATATACCTTCCACACAGATTTCTTAACTGTTAAAATTTTACTTCATTATATTCTTTTCCTGTGTGCATATTTTTTTTTCCGAACTGATTGAAAGTAAGTTGCAAACATTTTGAAATATTATCCCTAAATACTTCAGTGTGTTTCCTAAAGACAAGGATCCTCTCCTACATAACCAAAGAGCAAGCACCTAAATCAAGAGATCAACACTGATACAATACTATCAACTGAAGGTAAATTTTTGAAATGAGTCTGCAGAATATAAGAAGGGTTAATGTAATTTTTTAAAGTGAAAATATAAAGGATACAGACCAGGCAAAACAGTATTATTATTGCACATTCATTTATGATCCTACTGTAAGCAAATACTATGGCATTAATTATTAATTTTCAGGTACTATCTCCTATTAATATGATATATTAGCTGTATTAAGACTGGTATGTTAATTGTATGTGTGTAAAATTGTGGCTAAGTAGAATGTGCATTAAAACATTTTTAAAACCAAAGTAATTAATAAAATATGAAGTAGTGCCATACTCTTCTGCCTGAATGGAATCTGCAGGGGCTACATAATTGCTAGGGATATAGCCATTCTTTCCTGTAGCAATAGATCTTGCTTCCCACCAGTCTCCTTCCCTGCAACACATAAAACAACAATTACCACAAAGTAGACAACTGCTTGAAACACAATTTATGGCAGTGTTGCCTTGTATCTATGTAGAAAAGAGGTTTAACTTCCATTTTTTTAATGCATTCATTTGATCAAAAATCAAACTCAAAAGAGTAATATTTAAAAATAGGTTAGTTGAATTAGGGAATAAGGCTAAGCAAAAGCACAAAAGCATACATATTTCTGCTCTAAACAAACAAACAAAAAGGTTTAATTTTAGTTACAAGATTGCTCTTTTACATACCTATCTTCTTCAACCTCAAACAATAAACTATACTAACTAGAACAATTTGGGAGGTAAATCTTTCAAATTACTCAGTTTCAACTGGATGTTTTCTTTTTTAAAAGTTTTACTGACATAATTTGCATATCATAAAATTCCCACTTTAAGATGTACAATTTAATGGGTTTTAATATATTCATACAGTTGTACAACCATTAGCACAATCAATTTTAGAACATTTCATCATCCCCCAACCAAGAAACCCTATACCCATTAACAGTCACTCTCCACTACTCCACCCACCTCCCCCTGACATTGCCTAACACCACATCAGCTTTCTGTTCCTATGGATATGACTATTGTGGGCATTTCATATAAATGGAATCAGACAGTAATCTGGTGTGATCTTTTGGAAGGTTTCTTTCACTTAGCATAATTTTTTCATAGTTCACCTATGCTGCAGTACGTTATCAGTAGTTCATTCTTTTTTACTGTCAAATGCTTTTAACCATATATAAAATGATAATGCTCCTTTTTAGCCATTTTAGGAAAAGTATCAGGATGCCCTAGAACTCCTGTAGCAAAATATTTTCAACAGACAGGAATAAAAAATTTAACTCCTAGAATAAAGTATATTTACAAAAATGTTATCCATAAATATTCAAATAAGACTAAAATCAGTTCAGAACATGAAAATTATGTATAGTTTGCAATACGTAAGTCTTGACTTTTCCAAAATTAATGTGAAAGAAGCAAATATTATCAGTATCTAATGAGGAAGATATATATGGGTTCTGCCATTAAAAATTAAATGCATGTTTTGCTTTGCCAGAGAAAAGTACTGAGAGTATCTTATCTAAATTGACATTTTATAAATGATCGAGGGGAATTTGTTCTCTAGAAAATGAGATGAAAAATCCTTTGGCAATTCAAATATTTCTACTCATACACTTGGGTTTGTAGATTCCTAGTATACATTAAGCACTTTCAGATATACAAACTGAAAACTGCATTTGTGCTAACCATTCATGATTCATTCAAACATTTATTGACAACCCTTTAAGTAACAGACTTTATGAGACAGTGCGCTAGAAATAGAAACAGAGGTAAAAAGACAGTCTGTAACCTCAAGAAACAGCATAGAGCAATTTCTCAGCCTCACCCTTACTGATTCTTTGGGCTAGATGACTGTTGTTGGGGGCTGTCCTGTGCACTATAGGAGGTTCAGCAATATCCCTGTCCTCCACCCACTAGAAAGCAGTGGAGGCACCCTGCCTCCAGACATTGCTAAATGTCTTCTGGGCATCTTTCCCTTGGTTGAGAACCACTGGTCTAAAGGAATGACAAGCACACAATAAATTATAATTAGAAGTAGTGATGGCAGCTATGATTGAGGTTTGCACGGGGTGCTACATCAACATGTAAGACAGACACCTAATCCAGTGGGAGAAGGGGTGTGACCAGGAAGGAGAGGAAGAATGTCAAGAAAGGGCTCCTAGAGAAATAACATAGGAATATACATTTTGAAGGATGAACAGGATTGGCCAGATTAAAGAAAAAAAAAAAAAAAGCTGAGACAGGAAGTCATGTTCCAGAAAAAAGACACTGTACGTGTCAAGTCATGGGAAGGTGAGAAACCCCAGTGTATTCATAAAATTACAAGCAACTCAGTATGGCTGGGCAGTTAAATGAGGAAGGGGAAGCAGCTGGATGACTGATGTCTACCATTGTTATCGCTTTTCTTTTATCTTGACAGCAACTGGTAGCTACTGAAAAAGGCTTTTAAAGCAGAGAGACATGATCATATTTTATATTCTGGAACAATAATGGATAGCAAATGGGAGCAAGAATGTTAGGAAATATGACTGGAAGTAAAAAGACCATAACATACAGGATCTATTTTCTCTAACAAGTACTGAATTTTCAATTCAAACACTGAATTTGTAGTGGGCCACTAAATGGCTTTTATTACTGAGTGGTCCACTAAAAGCCTAAGAGTCATCTCAAACTAAAAGTCTTAGACAAGGGGTGCCTGGGTGGCTCAGTGGGTTGAAGCCTCTTCATGATCTCAGGGTCCTGGGATTGAGCCCTGCATCAGGCTGTCTGCTCCCAGAGAGCCTGCTTCCCCCTCTCTCTCCCTGCCTGCCTCTCTGCCCACTTCTGGTCTCTGCCTGTCAAATAAATAAATAAATAAAATCTTAAAAAAAAAAAAAGTCTTAGACAAAAACTCTAAGAGTCACCTAAGGAAAAAGCAACTTAGTGTGGTCAGATTGGGACTGCAGGGGCTCCTTACTTGGCCTTTTCCCTTTTTTGTTAAGAGAAAGAATGAAGATCCTTAAGTTATCTTATATTCAAATAGGAACAAAGAATCTCTTTAAAAAGATTTTTTTTTAAGTGATGTACCTACTTGCATATATTCCCTCAATCTTCACTTTTTTTTTTTTTAATATTTTATTTATTTGACAGAGAGCTAGAGAGAGAGGACAAGTAAGCAGAGCGGCAGGGAGAGGGGGAGAGAGAGAAGCAGGCTCTCTGCTGAGCAGGGAGCCCGATGCGGGGCTCGATCCCAGGACCCTGGAATCATGACCCGAGCTGAAGGCAGCCGCTTAACCAACTGATCCACCCGGGTGCCCCTCAATCTTCACTTTTAAATCTACCGTTTTTGGAAGAACCACACACTACAGCACAATTTGTAGAAGTCATAATTCTGGTTATAAAAGGAGTTATTATGCCATGTATCTAAGGAAACCAAATGCATCATCCAACCCAGTGGGCAGAGACCATGCTTCACCACTCTCATCTTTAATATCAACCAGCTAAATGGTTTCAGCATGAAGACTAGGTTTCTGTCAGTATTTCTCCCTCAAAATATTCCCAACACTTACGTGTTGTTAATTATTTGAAACCGTTCACCTTTCTTGAATGAAAGGTCTTCTGTAGTTCTAGCTTCATAATCATATAAGGCCACAAATATAGTAACACCACCTATTGGAGAAAAAAAAAAACATAAGGTAAATTATATATATTAACAGAGGGGGAAAAAATGTCAGCAAAAGAGCTTAAGCATAATTTTCTTTCTAGTCTCCAAAATCTACTTCTGAATGGAGACTTGGGCAGCTGGAGTTTAAGCTAATAAGAAGCTCTCTGAAGACCTTCCATGAAACTGCTGCATGCTACAAATTCTAAAATTCTATATACCCTCAGAAGCAAATTTAAATTTGATTCATAGTAGCAGTATCTCTGACTTGGAATCACAGTTCAAGTTCAATTCAATTCTTTGGCAGAAAAAGTATTAACAAGTACTACAAACTGGCACTAATCATCTCAATTACTTATAAACAATGGGTGAACATTTCCATCCTTAAAACTGATCTGTAGCAGTATCTAGGGATTTAGCTAGATTAGTTATTATAAAAAATACTCAAAAATGGCTTATTTTTCTTAAAAATTAAATGATATGGTTGATATGAATCATAAGTTCCAAAAATAATTATCATACATAGAATTATACACAGATGCTTAACAGATCAGGACACCAAACAACTAAACTATTACCTGCAAACAAAGGAATAGAATGGATTATTTACTATTCTTCCCTGAGTTTCAGTCATGTATTAACTGCCTATTTAACATTGCTACTTGAATGTCTAAGCAAATGGCACTACTATCTACTTAGGTACTCAAGCCAAGTCCCTTTACTAGCACTGTTATTCTATCTCTAAAATACCTCTTTATCTACTTTCTTTTCCATTTCCACGGTTGCCACCTTAATCCAAATCCTTGTTACCCCTGACTGAGTCTGCTGAGAAGTAGTCTCCTAACCTACTTCTGTACCTGCTTCCCTATATCCATTCTCCACAGAGCTAGCTGCCAGAGTAAGGTTTTTAAAAAAAGGAAATTCAATTATGCAAATCCTTTATTAAAAACTCTTCAATTGGGGCACCTGGGTGGGTCAGTTTTAAGTTAAGCGTCTGCTTTTGACTCAGGTCATGGTCCCAGGATCCTGGGATGGAGCCTCACATCAGGCTTCCTGCTCCGCAAGAAACCCACTCCCCCACCCCACTCCCCCTACTTGTGTTCCCTCTCTTGCTCTGTCTCTCTGTCAAATAAATAAATGTAATCTTTAAAATGAAAAAACAACAACAAAAAAACCCTCTTCAATTGCTTCTTCTTGTCTTTGATTGAATAAAACCCAAACTTCTTACCAGAGTATATGAGGTCCTGAGTAATCCTGACTCTTTAATCTCATATTATACATTTCTACCCTCTGGTGTCCTCACTAATCCTCAAAACCACCAGGTTCATCTGTACCTCCTAAACTCTGCATTTGTTGTTCTCTCTCCCCAGAAAGCTTTCTTCCCAGGTCTGCCCAGATTTAGGTCAGTCTCATCAATCAAACTTCAGCTTTAAATGATTTCTCTTCAAGACAGCTTTCCTTGATCTTCTAAAGGGCTTTCACCAATCACTCTGGTCAATTCCTTCAGAGCAGTTAAGAACCATTAATCATCCTGTTTAATTGTTTATTCACTAATTATTGTCCACCTTTTGTTATAACGTAAATTCCATTAAGACAAAAACCTTGTTTCTCTTGCTTACAATTCTCTATAAGCAGCACACAGAGACTCCATATGTGTTAACAGACATATACCATGAAGTGACGTTTCACATAAATAAACTGTTTAGGTAAGTAAGTATGTCCTCAAGTATCAAAGTTTACTTGGCTCATTTTGGATTACTGTCTTTCCCAAACATATAATCCTGAAAATAACTTAAAACTTGGCTGATCACTGAGGACACTATCGTGGCCATCTATTACTGAGATAGTCAGAGTTAAGAGGTTAGAATTAAGACTGTAATTGGCCTTTTGATGTCCACAACTCCTCAAATGAACAGTCTCACAGAATTCACTTATGGCATTCCGCTAGCACTATTACTGGTCTGGAGGTAAGCAAACTGAAAGGACAAATTTACAGCTCAAGCCTATAGAACAGATTCCTTTTTCCCCCCTCCGGTTGATAGTAAGGACATGTGTTGCTCAGTTTGATGCTTGCAGCTGTTTTGCCAAGCCTAAGATTAAAGCTGATACTCTAAAGGCTACCAAAAAGAGATCAAGGACTGAAGTCCTTGATGACATCAGGAAACTACTGCTGTATCAAGGAATCCTAGAGCTCACCCTACCTTTTTAAAGCCAGTTATGCTTTGTTACTCAAGGAAAAAGTATCCTGATCTGGAAACCCCACAAAAGAACTCTTTCTAAAGTTTCTAACTACTTTTTTAGAGCATTTCTGGCTCCATGAAAAGTTGTCAGCTGTCACTTCTTGTTCTCTGAAAGGCGACCATAATGTGATAAATGGAGTTCTGGCACAGGACATTAAACCTGGGCTCCCCTGCTTCTTATCTGTGACTCTGAAAAAAAAGCTTAACTCTGAGCTTCAGGACTTTCATTTTTTAAATCAGTGTCTGATAGAAAAACTGTATTATCATCACAACATTGCCATTTAATTAAGTAACTACTATAATATATTAATATTGGATAGTACTTTATAAACATGAAAACATTGGTAAGTTGTAACATTAACATTCTTGAGGGAGGGGTAGATGTTTCTAATTTTTATATCCCCACTGCCTGCCACATAGTAACCACTCACTACTTGAAAAAAATCAATTAATGAAATAACTAATGGTATAACCAGTAGATAATCACCAGATTATCACCAAACTTTCAGAACAATATGATGTATAATTTAAGACTGTAATTTTTACGTTAGAAGCTTTAAATTTCACATAAACTTTTAAGTCCCCAAGTAAGTTATTTTTCTCACAGCAGGCAAAAACTGTATGCACTGCCTGCCTAAGGTCATGTTCTCAAGCTGACAACAGAACTGTCCACTTAGATCTCACCTGTTAAACCAGCAGGATATGAACTTGGCACCACTGAGAATGAAGAAGATGCTCCTCCAAAAGGTGTCACCCCTGAGGATCCTCCAAATGGTGTCATGGAAAGACTGCTAAAATTAACAGATGCTCCCTTTGTTGAAGATGATGGTGCCACTGCAGTGTGTTCTGCTCCATAATGGCTGACACTGCTACTGACAGGTTCTGGAGTGTTTTCGGTTCTATATTTAATGGTTGGACTTTTGTTCTCTTTACTTTTAATGCAGCCCATTATCAAATCTACAAGGAGATAGGCAAATATTTTGAGAACTGGTTAATATAAAGTACACTTCAAAAAAACACAATTGAAAACTTCACTTTAAACAAGGAATTTTTCTCCTGCAAAAAAGGAACATTAATAAAATAAAGCAAACAAAAAACTAGACAGCTAAAAATGAAGTTTCTTCTCCTCATTTATCTTTATTACAATTCTGCTGAAGTATCATTCCAATCATGTCATTCTCCAGCTCAAACACCTTTAATGGTCCAATGACAACATGCCACAGTGTGCTGGGAAAGCCACTGGGTCTGACGCCAGAGAGGCCTTCATTTGAATCCTGGCTTCTTACTCAGTAGTGGAGTGATTTCGGATATGTTGCTTGACCTCTCTGCACCCCAGCTACTTGAAAAAAGAGGGATAATAATAACATCTACTTCATAAAGTTTTCTATTAGTATTAACTTAAACTTATCACAAGTTCTAGACAATATGTGGTATGTAGTAAGTACCAGCAAGTATCAGCTGTATTCTATACTAGCCCTCTGAATAGAAATATAATCTGAGTCACATATGTAATTCTCAGTGTTCTAGCAGCTACATTAAAAAAATAAAAATAGATTAAATCGATTTTAATAATATATTTTATTTAACCTAGTACATCTAAAATACAATTATTTTAACATGTCATCAATATAAAAAAATTTAATGAGTTTTCTTGTACTAAGCCTCAGAAATCTATTGCATATTTAAACTTAGAGTACATCTCAATTTGGATCAGGTACATTTCAAATACTCAATATCCATATGTGGCTAGCAGCTACCATATAAAGGAGCGGGTAGCTCTGTAACTTTTCCTTATCTACAGTCACACTCCCACTGCTTATCAAATTTGATCCCAATCTATCTTTCCAACTGTATCTCCTATTATTTCCTCACACTTATCTACATACACACACTTTCCTGTTTCCCTAATATATATGACCTGTGCTTTCCCAAGTTTGTGAGGATTTTACACCTAAAACTTTCTACCTATTAAAGTTCTATCCAATCACTGAAGATCATTACAAATGCTACTTTTCCATTCAAGCTTTTCCCCATAATTGGCAAAATATCGCTTTCCTTAAAACCTCCAATGTACTTTTGGGGAGATTTTTATATGGGACTCTCTCACCTTATTCTGTTTGGTATCTTGTTTTTTGCTTACTGGCCTAATTCCTACCCTATCCCCAAATTACTGGCACTATAGTTCTTTTTTTTTTTTTTTTTTTTAAAGATTTTGTTTATTTGACAGACAGAGATCACAAGTAGGCAGAGAGGCAGGCGGGGCGGGAGGAGGGGGGGAAGGTAGGGGGGGGAGCAGGATCCCTGCTGAGCAGAGAGCCAGATGCGGGGCTCGATCCCAGGACCCTGGGATCATGACCTGAGCCGAAGGCAGAGGTTTTTAACCCACTGAGCCATCCAGGTGCCCCTGGCACTATAGTTCTTAAAAATCAGGAGTTACTCATCTCTTACACACTGTCCAACTTACCGTGTGACTCATATAATACCATTATTACAAAATACTCATATAATACCATTATTACAAAATCTGCATTATATTCACTTCCTGTGAGAGCACAAATTTTCATTAATTCAATTACTTTTAAAGATCATTCTCATTTTACAGCTTTTCTTTTTTTATGTGGCATTCAAAAGGAAGTAAAGGAGTGGTAAGACAACTGCTTCATAAATTCTCAAAGACTGAACATTTACAACCTTGACTATGCAACATTTAAAATGTAGCTATACTGCAGTGATCAGACAAGAAATAAAGGGCATCCAAATTGGTAAGGAAGAAGTGAAACTATCACTATTTGCAGATGACATGATACAATATATAGAAAGCTCTAAAGACTCCATCAAAAAACTATTAGAACTAATAAATGAATTCAATAAAGCTGCAGGATACAAATTTAATATACAGAAATCTGTTGCATTTCTACACACTAATAATGAAGTAGCATAAAGAAATTAATAAAACAATCCCATTTACAATTACACTAAGAAACAAAAATAACTAGGAATAAATTGGCCCAAAGAGGTAAAAGACCTGTACGCTGTAAACTATAAAACACTGATGAAAGGAACTGAAGGCAATGCAAACAAATGGAAAGGTATACCATTCTCATGGATTAGAAGAATTAATATTGATAAAATGTCTGTAATACCCAAAGCAATCTACAAATTCAATGCAATCCCTATCAAAATACCAATAGCATTTTCCTGATATTTGTTGGATGGAACTACGAAAGACCAGAATAGCCAAAGCAATCTTGAGAAAGAACAACAAAGCTGAGGTATCATAATTCCAGATTTCAAGATTGATTACCAAAGAGTTATTACAGTACTCAAAATAATATGTACTGGCACAAAAACAGACACACAGGTCAATGGAGTAGAATAGAGAGCCCAAAAATAAACCCATGCTTATAAGGTCTATTGATCGATGACAAAAGAGGAAAGAATATACAATGGGGAAAGAAGAGTCTTTTTAATAAATGGTTTGGGGAAAACTGGACAGCTCCATGTGAAAGAATAAAACCGGCCCACTTATACAATACATAAAAATAAACTCAAAATGAAAAAAATCCCTCAAAATGGATTAAAAACCTAAATGCGAGACTGAAATTATAAAATTCTTAAAAGAAAAACAACATAAGTGGCAATCTCTTTGACATTAGCTTTAGCAACATATTTTTAGATAGGTCTTCTGCAAGGGAAACAAAAGCAAACATAAACTACTGGGACTACACCAAAACAAAAAGCTTTTTGCACAGCAAAGGAAACCATCAACAAAACAAAAAGGCAACCCAGTGAATGAAAGAGGATATTTGCAAGTTATATATCTGGTAAGGGGTTATTATCCAAAATATATAAAGAACTTATATAACTCAACACCAAAGTAACAAATAATGGTGGTTGACAAACGGGCCGAATAGAATAGACATTTTCTCAAAGAAGATAAACACATGAAAAGACAAAAGACACATTAAAAGATGTTCAACATCGCTAGTCATCAGGGAAAGCCACATCAAAACCACAATGAGATATAACCTCCCAGCAGTCAGAATGATCAGTATCAGAAAGAAATAAAAAGTGTTGGTGAAGATGTAGACAAAAGAAACCTTTATGCACTGTTGGTGGTAATGAAAACTGGTGCAGCCACTGTAGAAAACAGTACGGAGGTCCCTCTAAAACTTAAAAATACAACTACAATGTGATCGACTTTTTTCACCATGGGGTATGTATCCAAAGAAAACAAACACTAATTCAGAAAGCTTTATGCACCCCTATGTTTACTGCAACATTTTTTATAACAGCCAGGATATGGAAGCAACCTAAGTGTCCATTAATAGATAAATGGGGGTACTTGGTTGGCTCAGTGGGTTAAGCCTCTGTCTTCGGCTCAGGTATGATCTCAGGGTCCTGGGATCGAGCCCTGCATCAGGCTCTCTGCTCAGTGGGGAGCCTGCCTCCCTCTTTCTACCTGCCTCTCTGCCTAATTGTGATCTCTGTCTGTCAAATGAATAAGTAAAATCTTAAAAAAAAAAAAAAAGATAAATGGATAGGGGTGCCTGGGTGGCTCAGTTGGTTGAGCATCTGACTCTTGATCTCGGGTCTTGATCTCAAGACCCATTGCTGCGATTCATGCTGGGTGTGGAGCCTACTTAAAAAAATTTCTTTAAATAGATAAATGGATAAAGATGTGACAAAATATACAATGGAATATTACTCAGACACAAAAAAAGAATGAGATTTTGACATCTGCAACAACATGGATGTACCTAGAAGGTATTACGCTAAGTGAAATAAATTACCAATTCAATATCTATAACATACACAGCTACTCACATTCTCAATTTTTGTAACACTTTGTAACTTAGTTTTTGAGATTTGTCTAATTATCCAAATTGTTAAGTTTATATTAGCATAAAGTTATTCATAACATTTATTAATGTACTTTAGTATTATAGCCCTTAGGGATTTCTATTAAAAGTTCTCAATGGTCAACAAGGACTTGACCCTCTAGCTATAAAAAACTCAAATGCTTCCCCACCTGCTATGACCTTAAAAGGGCTATTAGCTCATATCAACCTGATCAACTCTTTGCCTGCCTGTATAGTTTCATTCTACACACACATTCCAGAATACAGAGAAAAATTAAAAGTCAGAGAGACTCCTATTGAAGCTTTTAGAATTATTTTCCTACATAGTGTCCTTCTTTTGGAATTTTGCCCTGCAAATTTCAGTTGCCTCAGCCTCCATGAATTCTGGTCTCTGTCTCAACTTTTTGAGACCACTGTCCTTTGCCCAAGATTCCTCTCCCTGCTCTGTTATTCAGACTGTGCCTCTAGGCAGGAAGTTGGGGTGATTAGGTGACCATATGGCTCACTTGTTTGTTTCCTTTATTTCAGGAATCACAGTCCTGCACTGCTGTTATCCAATATCTGAAAACAGTTGTTTCATATATTTTGTTCAGATTTTCAGTTTTTAGGGTTTTTTGGGGGGGAGAGAGCTGGCAAATCCATCATAGCCACTTAAAATGTTCTTAAAAATTCCTAGAAAAAAACATTTCATTCCCTGGTTCTAATATCATTAAAGTGCAGAAAGTATTAATTTCCAAATAAATTTGTACTTCAGTTTATATAACAGATTTATTCTTTAATAATGATCACTTTAAACAAATGAACATTTTAAATACTTTACTGTAATTGGTTAAAATACTCTGGGATTTTCCTTTTAATTTTAAGAAAGAAAAATAATTTTTATTTTATTTTTTTTTTTTTAAGATTTTATTTATTTACTTGACAGATAGAGATCACAAGTAGGCAGAGAGGCAGGCAGAGAGAGAGAGGAGGAGGCAGGTTCCCTGCTGAGCAGAGAGCCCGATGTGGGGCTCGATCCCAGGACACTGGGACCATGACCTGAGCCGAAGGCAGAGGCTTTAACCCACTGAGCCACCCAGGTGCCCCAAGAAAAAT